CTGCACGTATGAAACGGAAATGTGTTGTCTAAAGATTGAAAAAATCAGAACGACTCCCATCTATTTCAAGACACCCATCACCACACCATAGAATTACACAAGCAATCTGATCCGTTTCGCTTCCTCATGCTTCCTCTAAGATGCTGCAGCTGCCCGTGGCCACTGGCGTGTGCCGCGGCCAGCAGCCGCCCTGCTCGGTGGTGGTCACCGGCCAACAGCGCCGCAGCGTGGGCGGCAGCGAGGCACGGGAGAAGTCGACGCTGAGGCCCTGAAGCCATTACACTTTGAGAATAAACATTGAGTTGAGCAAGGAAGCTACTAGCAACAAAGGGCATCGCTACTAGGAGCCAAAAGCTAAAAGCAAGGCTTGGGTGAATGAACATGTGATGACCGCGCAGCCTGGACCATGGTGTGACACACGTGTGCGACACGCGTCACCGTGTCGAACTCCCGATCACAGGGAGGGGGGGTTCTGTTCATACATTTCTTCTAATGGGGGGACAGGTGCTGGGAATGGCTAGTGACTCTGCTAATTGCTGGTGGACTGGTGGATGTCCTGGTGAGTGGTAAGTGGCGTGGCGGGTCATACATGGCAAGTTGTAAGTCGTGTGTTGAAAAAGGGTGGGTGCATAAATTCTATCTGCATCGTAAACGCAGTTACAAGGTAGTGGATTGGAGGTCAGGTGACCTGTGATGGGGGGGCAGGCAGGACACGTCAATTGGGTAGTAATTGATCGCACAAATTCCGCTCTGCACCGTCGAACCCTCCCAATGAACCTCTCCCACATCATTGGTGAATTTATCCTCTGCGAAAAAAAAAACACTTGGTCATCTCCTGCACCTTCTTGATGTGACTTCAGAAAGAAAAAGGACCAACCAAGGAGGCCTCAATGTGGTCCATGTAGCAGTCTCCGGCTCCACTCGGTCGACCGGTGCGTTTTCCGCTCGCTCCTCGAAGAGCAGCTGCTCCGGTGGCACCGCGTCGGGCCAAAGGCCCTCCACGTCGCTCCAGCGCTCGGCGAAGTGGTCCAAGTCGCTGAGCCTGTCACAGTCGAACGGCAAAAACACGGAGGTTTCCAAGGGGAAGACCATTGAAAGGGGTTTGGAGAGCAGACAGGGGGGGGGAAGGAGGTGAAAGAAAACATGGTACATTTAGCCAATGAACGCGTTTCCACTGCACACCACCATATAAAACCATCCCAAAAACCTGCCATATATCTGGTATATCTGGCATGACCTTCCGATGCCTGAGCGTGGCAAATGGCTCCCTCCAGCATGGCTTCACCCACTGGAGCACCGCTCGAAGCCGCCGCGCCAGGCGCCCGGCCCGCAGCATCCGCGAGGGGCTGGGCTCGTGGGTGAAGGTGAGGTCGAGGATGCAAAGGAGATCTGAGAAGACTAGGCCTCACAAGTAGACTACAAGCAGACTAGATCTGTGGAATTGCATTTTGGATCGGTTTTTGTTGGGTTTTGGAGAAGTGAGAGTGTCCACCTAAACGTCCACAAGTGGTTTTGATTGAACCTTCGTCTTTACACTTTGATCGGTTTGGGTTTGGAGGTGGTTGGATGCTCTTGAGAAGGCTGGAGTCGAGTGGATCACAAAACTTGTGATGCAAAACTCCGTGACAACTAGTGAACATATCGAGAACCATCTGATTCAACAGCTTCCTAATACCAAACTTTAGCACTTTAGGTAGCTTCGCTGATGAAGGGTGCTGGTTTGCTTTCTGTCTATATGCACATTCTATGTCAACATTTCTCATCATTTATCTTAAATGACTCTCCAAACGTCGCAGTTTGCCTGGTAAACAAAGATCGCTGAAGACCTCCTGGCGCACAGCGGTCCAGCGGGGCCACTTGCCCAGCTTCACTGCTTGACTTAAATGAGTGTGGAAGAAATACACTCATCAGCCCGGTGATCAAACTTCGTGTTGAGCTTGGTGTATAGTGTCTATATGCATGTCGACCTGACTGTCGGTGGAATGCCACCCTGTCTATCGCCCGATCATATAATGATCATATATGTCCCCTTCCTTTCCTCGCCGCTTCCCAGCTCTGCCCCCCAGCTCCCCCCGGCTCAGCTCCTTGGGCCAAAAGGTCCGCGCCGTCGCGCTCGCCGCACGACCGCTCGCGGTCGAAGCCGACGCTTCGCCCACCCAGCCGACGTCGAAGCGCCAGCGCGGCGCCACGGCGGCCGAGGCCGGCGGCGGCCAGCGCGAGGCATCGAGGGGGCAAAGCTCCCGAGCGGCGCGGCGCAAGCGCTGCCAGCCTCACGGAGAGTGGGTGGAGACATCAGGGGTATAGCGCCTGAAGTGGTGGAAGGAGGATATGGAGTTGCACACCCAAAGCTAATTAAGAGGGTATGGTTCGAATCAAAGATGAGGCAAGCTTCACGATTCTACCATACATGGATCACGGTTCCAAGTACAGTTCTAGTATAAAATCAATAACAGGATATAATAGGTATCCATTTACAAAGGTAGCTGACATACTTCAGTTGTGGACACCCCCCACCAAAACACTTCTGGATTTGACTCCTGCGACGGATTTCGCTGCGACCACACCTGGCTGTTTCTGCCGGCTCCGATTCTCCTTCTGGCTGCGGACCAGGACATAATCCTCGGTGGCGCTTCCGCCGTCCGTGAGCGCGGTCAGTGCTGTAGAGTCTTGCTTGGTACTTGGGAGAAGTGGAACGCCCATTGGTTTGGGATGTTGCATGTTGACATATACTGCATGTGAGCCACATGATGATACAGATTCTCTGAGCCACACATCTTGCTTCTTCAAAACGGTCAAATCCCCAAACCCAGCAGTTGCAGCAACAACCCCCTCAGATGGGCGTCCTTTTTTCAGGAGCCGGGCGAGCACGGATCGGCATGGTGCCTGGCTGCCTCGCTGTACCGTTTCATCGCCGCACTCGGAAAAAAGGTCGGGATCGAGCATCCGTCTTTTCGGAAAAGATCTGCTGGACGTCATCCGCGATGTGGAGCCAGAAGTTATTCTTCCAGTCACACTCGCCTCACTGCGACGAGCAATATACAGTAGCGTTAATGTGGAGTCTCAAAATTTATGGGAAGCGGTGCCATGAGCCTAAACAGGTGCTTATAGACTCCTGGGAAAAGGATCAGAATTGTTGTTTCGTTTGAGTCCTTTAGGATCTTTGAGCTTGGTAGTTGGAACACTGCCCACAACGGGCCGTGGTGTTATGTGCCTTTTCTGGACATTGTCATTGGCTTCACAACAATTTCAGCGACGTAATTGGTAGGCTCATAACGGTGGGCATCTATATAATATCTTCTGTTGTTAGAAGATGGATGATCTTCGCATCATGCCTACGTAACTCCAAAACATCGTTGTCTACGATGAATGAAGACAGTGTAATTGGTGCACGCTAAAAGAATATAATCAGTGCGCCACGGTCTGTATGGGGGGTAATAACGCGCGGTATCTAAAGTCGTCTGTTGTAAAAATAAAAGACGGATGATCTTCGCGTTCTATGTATTTTGAAGACGCCGTTGTCTACGATGCATGAGGGAAGTGTAGCTGATGCACGTAAGGAGATTGAAGAGGAGCTTGTCTGGCAAACAATGGATTACATCCTCGATAGTTTTGGGCAACTTGCATATCTCGAATTGACTGTTGAAGTGTCAATTCTACTGGGAAGTGCACAGGAGAATTGTTCCCCAATGTAATTACGCCACTCAATCCTTGAACACGCTGAACGAAACTTCCCCAACCGAATCATTTTGATGATCAGAATGGTCATTTCGCACCACACCCATAACGGGCGGTGGTCCTGGTAGTTACGTTGATCAATCATGATAAAACCCATTCCACAGAAGCGACTGCTCAAACCAGATATATACTCCGCGACTGCACCTGGGAGTGCTTTCTTTTGCTTATTACTTCATCTACTTCCAACATGATGTGAAATCTCACCAAAGTTCAACCCCGGACACCAAGAATCATAGCCATTGCTCTCTCTGTGCCCTCTCAAGAACTAAGCTTCACCGTCATCCAAGTCTTCATCTTTCACTTTCCTCCGGGTAGGGTTTAAGGTATTTTAGCATTGGAAATCCTGAATGCCGGACATCCCAAATAATTTACCTCCAGTCGCAAAGGACCTCCGCATCAACGATGTTCCAGCGCTGTTTCCCCAGCACAGTTCGCGTGAGCAGCGCGAGCAGTGTGGGAAGAATGCACACGGGTCGTCTTGCAAGGCGTGCCATGGAGGCCAGTCATCAGCCATGGTGCTGAGATGCTTTTGGCAAATGCTAATGGTCAAGTGCCACTGCATGCCACTGCTCAAGGAAAACCCCAATCAGGGGGCAGGATCTGTAATCAGGTTTTGTGCTGGGTGTGTATCGGTGAAACCGGGCATGGTTTTGCTTGAAATTAGAATGGTTCGATCAAATTGATTCACATGAGTCACATGTTCACATGCTTGACCATGGTCCTATTTCATATGGTTCACATGTGTTTGACCGTGATTTAAGGTGAACTAAGAATCCAAAGACTTGAACATCCACATTTCTGAAGACTTGTCGCGTCGGTTTGTTAGGTGATGTTTGTGCCATGTTTCGCCGTGCTATTCTGGAATGGAGCTTCAAACTCACCATAACTATGATATACACACTACTATAGAGTTGGATCTATAAGGACTACTCTATAGTCTACAGTACCAGTACTGAGTTGAAATGCCGATTGAAGGCTACCGACCGTGGATCTTTGTGGGCCACATACGTCTGTCTCAGGATCTTTAGATCCTCCCCCATCGCTGGAGTCAGCTCAGTCAGTCTGTGTTCCGCACGGGGCAGCTCCATGGATTTACGACCGATTCATCTGCAAGACTAGTTCGTACTCTCCAACGAGTTCCCCCATTCCATGGATTCCAACAGATTCCGACGGTCTTCAGAAAAGATTCGCCCATCTCTCACCTCCTCCCACGCTCATCCTGTCTCCTCTCCCAGCGCTGCCATTCCCTCTTCTGCCCAGGTGGCTCATACGCCGGACCATGGCGCCAGAGTTGGCGTAGTACTCCTCGATTCGAAGCAGCCGACGGACTGCGCGCGCGCGGCGACGTCGCTTCGCCGAGCTGTGGGAAGCGCGATTGAACCGATCAAACGGCTGTTTCATCTGGGCCTTCAAAAGGAAGTCAGTGGACCAAGAGGGAAAAACCCATCAACGAACGGCGTGACATCGGAGGTTTGAAGTGAAGTGAATGCAAGCTGCAAGCGCTTCAGGCATATCCTTGAAAACAATGTCAGTGGAAACATAATGCAGGCGTTAATTCTGTTGTTGTCAGATGGTTCACTCACCTTTGCCTTCTACCAGGGTACAAAAATGGTCACAGGGATCTGGGAACTATGTGGTCATCTATACTCCATCATCCTCGCTCTACGCTGCTACACACTTCATCTGGGCATGCATGGACCAACCAAGAAAACCAACTGCAGGTCTGACTAAGCAAGCGGTGGAACCGGGCTCCAACCAGTTCTTTCAGAAATGCGTCGCCATTTCCTTCACTCATGCGCCACGAATACATCACCGCCATAGAAAACTAAAATAAAATAAAATGGTCTAAAGACATAGACTTTAGATGACTTTAGACTCTCCTCGACAAGAGAACTTGCAGTGCCCACAGACAAACACGTGTACAACTTGCGGCAACAGCATTCTAACGCGATCAGCTACTTAGCTCCCTGCTCAAAGCCAAATAATATGCAACAACACTTATTATGGTCGACCGCAAGCCCCCTCTGAAATCCATGAACCAAACTAACAATAAACTGATTGTCAACTGACGTCTATCTATGCCAGTGGAATACTGGAATACTCCTGCTCCTCTTCCATATGCTTCTCTAGACGGTCTATATCGGTGTATTCCATTTGAAACTGGTGGACTCAGGCCGCGCATGGCCCTGCCGCGCATGGCCCTGCCGCGCCTGGATATCGGTCAAGCCGTATTCCACGCTGTCGGTGAGCTGCACCAAGGAGCCACTCGTGGACATCAACTTATCCAAGACCTGGTTGGAAAACAACACATGGATTGGTTGGGTGTCGTCCACTGCTCAACATGAGCTGTGGTGAAGGGACGGATTCGCAAGTCAAGCTATTGGGTGTCCATGCGAAAACAGGGAGACACCCAACCAATGGAGTTTGGGGCTGGGTTTGGGTGATTCACCATGTCGACATGTTCATTCCTCGAATTTTCGGGTCGTTGCTGAGGATCTCCCTGTTTCGCGTCACACTCACCGTGACGACCGGAGCAGCCCCGAGAACTGGGACGTGCGGCGAGTGGAGGAAGTGGGTGTCGCCGAGTCGAGCACGGGGGTGAAGGCTAAGTCTTTAAGACGGCTAAGAGCTGAAGTGGAACACCGAGGGGTTCTCGAATTGTGGTCGTTTGGTCTTTTGGTGTTCAAGAGCCGGTCTGATAGAGCAAGGCAAGACTTTGAAAAGCTTGACGCTTGCATGTAGACGGTACAGTAGATTCTCCGCCAAAAGTAGAATGGTCCTGATCCTGTCGAGAATAACTGCTTTTCAGGACTTCAAGAGTCCATGCTACACTGAGCAATGACTGTTGGATGCGATGCATGGCCATCTAGAAAACCCTTCATTCTTTCTTTCCACTCTGTAAGTTCCTCATACTTGCCATCTTTTAGCTCCGTTCTCGAGGCATATTCACTTATCACCCATCACAAACAACCACATCAACCAGTCCGCTCCACCCCACCGAGCCCCAAAACCCAAGCTCCGTGGCCTTGGCGCGTGACACACCCTTCTGCTGGCGTCCGAAGGCGAAGGCGTTCCGCGAGGCCCAGGTCTCACCCAGCTCCTGCGGTGACTCTGACCGTCCGGTGCACCGGACGTGTGGTCCGTGTCAATGGAGCGTCTGGACGGAGTGCGTGGAATCCGGATGTCCAAGGGATTGAAGATGATGTCATGTCATATATGGTCATCCCACTCTTTTGGAGAAGTCTGGCCTCTGAAACTTCAAAAGCTGCTTGTCAGCTTGGGGGGAAAAGCTGGTATGTGGGTGAGGACGCTTCTTGCGGAAGATTCTCCCATCAAACTGCCAAAGATCTCACCACGTCGACCACCCTTCCGGAGAACTCTGCTGCAGATCAATCAGAAGAGGGGGGTGACCACGAACACGCTGTTCTTGACATGAGCACAAGGCGGTGAATGAAAAGAAATGCAGGGGGCGACCATGGGGGGAACACCTGACTTCAGACCCCCGGGATCGTCCCGTCACATCCGTCCTCGTCTCGCTCCCAGGTGCCAGCCACCACGCGTTCATTCCTCGGGCTAAGGGTCTCGGAGCGTCACAGCCCTTCTTGGAGAGCTCAGCTGCACCATCCTTTGGGGAAAGGTGGTTTGGAAGGTTAGGATTCAGTTTTGTAGGGAAAGCAGGAAACAAGCCTGCTCACAGCTTGACAAAACAATTGGCTCACAGCCCAATCACCGACTCTCAACATTCACCTTGGCCACCTTGGCGCCGCTTAATCCGAAACCGACCCTCGGTGTCTCTCGGCACTGGCAGTCTCCAAGCGGCACCAAAGAGCCAAACTCCCCGGCAGCATTCGAGAAAATGCCTGGGACACCCAGTCGCGAAGCGGCACTTTCTTCGGAGGTTCAGGAGAGAGTCAGCGCCCTTCTGTCTGACATGTGCAGAGTATGTGATTATGATCTGTTCAACCTTTTTGTTTTTTATACAAACAGGTATCAGAACAGTTAAAACATGCTTGTTGGGGGTGGGACAACGAAGGCAGAAACACATGATTTGTTGCGGGTGTTGGTCTAGCTGCCGGCCCCATCCATTACACTCTTGTGGGATGACCGTTCTCTCTAGGGTTTTGGTTTCAGGTGCGAAGTCTCTTTGTGTTCGTTGTTTTCAGTCAGCCCGCCTTCGTTTAGGGGCTTGATGGGGATTGGGTCGCTCAGGGGGGGTTCATTTGTAGCTCACTCAACCCCATAAATGCCAAGATCGGATGTGGAACCACAAACGAACTTCTGAAACTTGGCAGCCGGGATTGTTCTTTGATTCAGTGATGACCTTTCAGCGCCTTTCAAGCCGCTGCTCGTGCTTCACGGCTTCTTTCTTCCTCCAACACTTCCACTCTAAGCATGGCATTCCCGCTCTAACTTTCAGCCAAGGGGCGCGAGAGGGCAGCCTCCTCATCTTCCTCTTCTTCCAGGAGCTCCTTGTTTCCCCCCATTCTTTGCCAAAAAAAAGCTGGAAGCTGTTCCAGGATGAAAGAAGTCGCCTTCTAACAGGGGAACTCCACCTTTCAACCCTTCCTTCACCCTCCACAGCCACAATGCTCAGAGGTTGGATTTTCATTGCCTGCCTCTCAAATTCCGATATAGTCTGTCAGTTATCACATATCAACTTAATTGAGAAGAATAAAAACACACTTGCCCAGTCTATAGCGGGTTGAAACATAACATAGTTATCAAAACCAAAACCATTAGAATAAATCAGGCGCCAAGAAGCGCAAGAGATGGTGAATGGATGCCCCTCAAAATCATCGTCTAAAGTTCCAACCAATAAGACATTCATATATATATATATATATGACTCGACCCACTCCACTCCACTCCTATCAAGGGGCCCTGGTATTTCCCCACCACCTCACCATCCCTCGCCCATGGGATCTCCAGGTAGTGCTTCCGCACAAAGTTCTGCTCCACCGGCTCGTCTGCGCTCTGCGCGGCGCGCGCCAGGGCATCGTCCAGCAGCTCCACGATGTTGGCGAAACTATCGCGGAAAATGCCGCCTTGGTACCGTGGTACGTACGTGAAGCTTCGTTCACGGACGGCGAGTGGGGTCAGGTAATGGCAGGTGATGGCAGGTCCTTCAGGTGCGGAGCCAGTGATGAAAGAATGTGGCAGAAACAGCAACTGAGGTGGTTCAGGACACTTTTGGAACTACAAATGCAAGAAGGTGTCACAAGATCTTCAGGTGGAAGATAGACACATGTTGATAAATCTGATTCGGATGATGTCCTCTGATTGACGATTGTGATTATGATGATGATGATGATGATGATGTTGATGTTGTTGATGTTGTTGATGTTGTTGCTGTTGCTGTTGCTGTTGCTGGTGCTGCTGCTGCTGCTGCTGCTGATGATGATGATGATGATGATGATGATGGGATGATGGGATGATGGGATGATGCTTATTGTTATAATGATCTCAACATTATATAGTGTGCTTCTATATTGTCATATATGATTGCTGTTGTTGCTGCTGCAGTTGTTGTTCTTGATGGCCGCCATGGTGGTGGCAGCTCTTGTTCTCTTATTATTCTTGTGCACTTGTTGAAGGGATCGCTCCAGAAAAACACACCTTTTTGGGAATGTGCCAAGAGGCTCAGGGAGCACAAGGCGTCCACGCGGGGGCGGCCCAGCTCCTGCAGTGGAATCAGCTCCTCAGGACGGTCTGACAAAGGTGGTCGTCCAAATGGGGAGCTTCGCGGAGAAATGAGAGGAAAGAAAAAGACACATGAGAAGATGTCAAAGATGTCCATTGAATTTCCGTGTACATTGAACATCATTGAACTTTCGATATAAACGACCAATCAACATCACGCCAAACCCATGATCCTCCATGCATCTCCCCATCCCATCAGATCGACCCGGACAAATGCGCGCTTGTCGCCGAGCCACATAGCGCGCCACCCGGCCGGTCGCCTCGCAGACCGGCCGGGCGCCGATGAGGCCCAAGGCCACGGCCACTGACTCACCACGGGTCTTGATGGCCTCGCGCGGGTGGCGGGGAGGAGGAATTCTCATCACCCCACAAGAGGTGGGTGCTGCCCCACCCCGAGCCCCCAGCCCCCAGCTAACTACTGTATATAGGGCAAAAACGGGGCTGGACGGAAGAGAGAAAAACCAGGGTTGATTTCACGGTTCCAGAAGTGAAGAGAAGACGTGTAGTGTTGTGATGGCGAAGGACGAGGGGCCAGGTGCAACTCATATCTATATGATGCTCTTCTTGCAAACCACTCAGAGACTCAGTCAGCCGGACTCAAAGCACATCTGAGATTTGGGTCCATCAGCCAACTCATGGCGCTCCCAAACTCCAATGCGGTGGGGGTCATCCGTTGTTCCAAGGGAGGCTCATCTGGTCGCGCACCCCTTCCGTTGCATCACACGTTTCGCACCACAAAGCCGTCTGCGGGTGCGCCGCTTTCTTCCGCCGCGGAACCACCCTTCCTTGACGAAATCACTGAAATCCTCATCCCAGGGTCCCAGACCATGGAAAGATTTAACAGTTCCATGGACCCCTCAAACACTGCTCAAACACCTGAACAAATCACCCCAAATGATCGCTCCATCTTCCAGTTCGAACAAAAAGCAAAACGGAAAAAACAGAAAAGACACACATCCTCAGAGTGGTCCGGGATCTTTTGGTCCAAATAACCAACACACACGGAACCCGGAAACCATCCGAAAAGCCTCCCGGAAGAAACCCACGGCCGTGGTTTCACGGGAACCAAAACAGTCGTGCACGGCGTGTGGGTTGAAGCTGGAGCGCCTCTAAGCCCCACAGGTTCACCGCGATGGTCTCCTTTTTGGATGACCAGAGGATGACCAGAGGGGGGGAGGGATGTTGGAGCTGGTGGAAAACCGTGAACACGGTGTTCAACAAACGGAGTTCCTTGAGTCAGTGATTTCAACAAACGGAGTTCCTTGAGTCAGTGATGAGTCAAGGGGCACTCATTGGAGATGATGGAAAAAAAGGGATTCCGAAGGAATCGTTTGGATTCTTGACACTTTGTCACGTTAAGGCTCAAATAGAGCAATAAAAGGAACAGGTGTTGCAATTTGGGGACTCTGACACAATGGAAACAGCCTGTAGCGACCTCACAGTTTAGTGTGTTTGTTTAATGGCATCTGACAAATCTCAATGGAAAACATAAGGTTTGTGAGACTTTGGGCTGTTGACCAGAAATCTGGCGCAGTGTATTTGGGCAAAACATGGGATACTCGGATACCCTTTCGTCAATAGATTCGATATGCAAAACATTGGAGAAACTGTCTTCAAAAGGTTAAACATATGGTTTCAATCAAGTTGTGCACAAATGATCACCTGTGAACCCTCACTTATCTTTCCAAATTTGTAAAGTACTTCAACCACAATGGTATAATCAACACGGATGGAGCAAGCTCTATACAGCAGCTGCAAATGCCAACCTGCAACCTGACCTGCAACCTGAACTACAGTACTTAATTTCACCCCATTATGTACTTATGCACCCCACCCACACGCATCAGGGGATGACTGTGCACAAGGCAATGAGTCGACCCAGGCAATGCAAAAAGGACATTCGTCGACAAAATCAGCTTCACCTCATGTCATATATACACAGTATATATCTCCAGGCTCTGGGCTGGCCACATATGGAAAATCATGCAAAATCGTAGGTGTCATCCGAACACGACAAACAGCCGGACAAGATCACTGTTGATCATCAGGTGGAATCTGGTCTTGTGGCACGTCCGGACGGACGCGTGCGCCCTTTGAGGTAGCTGACCATCAGATGCTCCCAAAAGTGGAGGATCTGAGAGATGGTCACTGTTGTCCCAATGAGAGTTTGCTCTTTGCTAAAAGTTGTTCTTTGACCCTCGAAAGGGAGGAGCAGCTTGGTGGGCTGCAAGCTCGAAAGCTGCTCCATCTTTACGTGACAAAATCTTGCCACCTACCCTGCTCCAAAACTTGTTTAAGGCAGTATGTGTGGAACTCTTGCAACATGGCTGATTTTGTCACCATTTCTGGCGGCGGGTGAGAACTTTATTTTGCAGTTGTTGCTGCAATCAGTATGTGAATTAAGGGCTCTTGACAAGACATATGCAACAACCCCATAGAACCCACCATGCCATTCGCGGTTAAACTTGCAATGTTTCAATGAACTCACATTCTTTCAATGTGGCTTCGGGAACTCAAATAAACAGTCCAACTCTGAGATTTGAATTGGCTTTGTTCTGCTCAAGTAGGTTACAAATCTGTTTGATTTCACTAAACATGTCACGCAGGTTACACGTTTTTGTGAGTTTTGAGGACATCCACCCAGAGGTGACCACTGTGACCATTAGAAAAAATAAACATGCTCCAGGCATCTCTGGAGCTCGAATTGGAAGGGGCAACAAATTTCTTGACTGCGGAACCCTTGAGTTCTGCTAGGCGTCCAGCTCTGCAAAAGAACAGTTGTGTTGACAATTGAACTTTTTTGTTGTAAGGTCTCTGCTTCATTCACCCTTTTAGGGAATAACTTGTTATTTTGCGAACGATTGGTTTAGGAGCCTAGAGCACTATTTTATTTACCTTTGTTTGTGACAAAACAAATACGTTTTGTTGATGGGGCTCTTGAAAAGTACAAACTAACCACTCCCATCGAACCAATTGTGGCGATTGTTTTGAACATTTTTTTGAATGACATCCAGTTATTTCAGCGTCCCTGTGGGACTTCAGCTCAGATTCAGCTCCGCCTCCCAACGTTGAAAACGGTTTGCAACAGCTTTATTCAGTGAACAATGCTAAATGTCAGCCGTTCGAGATATCAACTTTTTGAGTACATCCATAAAGAGGATCACTGCTCTGCAAAAAACTGGCCACACTCTAGGCATTCTGTTTCTCAAAAAGTCTTTTCCACTTATAAGATCCTTATTTGCACCTGAACACCCTTGAATTCTGACATTGAGTATCACTTGACAACCCGAACAACCATGGCATCCCTTGAGACCCCTGAAGCTAACACCTTTCACCGCAGAGGTCGCCATGCTCCCGCCCGAAACGTCCAGGGCTCCGGGTATTCGCCATGCTCAGCGCGGTACCTGCAGAGACACCGTAGACCTTTCAGTGAGTCTAAGTGTGTATATTTACCCTGGGAGTCAAAGACTATAACAGAATGGTCTTTAGGGGACCTGAAAGGGAACTTCCTTTACTTCAGCCGGTCAAAATATAGTCTTTGGACTTCCAGGGTTTGTTTGTATGACTATAGTAGTGATTATAGTTATATAGAGATGAACGGGTTGGTTTTTTGGGGGGTACCATATATATATATAGAGATAGAGAGTCCGCAACAATGACCCCGAACAAGTGCAAGGTGACCCAGTAGGTGACCATCCTTTTCCGGAGGGTTATGATATGTTTCTTGTGTAATTCGTTGCCAAATGGAGCAAATTGCCTTTTTCCTGCAGCATGCCTTAATTGCACAAACACGTCTACAGTTGTGGAATATGTCTGGGCTCCAATGATGCATGCCAAAAAGACGGTCGGTACGTATTCAATTTTTTGGGGTCAAGGTTAGGTTGCCCATCACCTTCAACGGCTGCGCACCCTTCGATGGTCTTCTCAGCGGCTGCCAGGCCACGCTGAAGAGCGGTTTGGCCTCCAGCGGTCCGGCACTGGAGCAGTTCATGGGTTTGCAAGTCTCTAGTGCTCAAAGCCGAACCACTTTACAGCTTTTCTTGGGATCACTCGAATCTAGCAATCCTTTCCTTGATTTGCGATGCACTTGATTTGGGATCTCCCATATTGTATATGTCTTATCCCCGTAATTCACTGTCACACCAATCCATTCTTCCCACCACCCACCATCTCCACATCACCTTCCCGCTCAATTCCCTCTTTTTTCTTGTCTCTTCTTCCTTTTTGTCTTTTCTCTTCTTCCTTTATTATTAGCTCTCTTCAATCGAGAACGAAAAAGAACACCACCACCAGGTGGTGGTGGTGGTGGTGGCGGTGGCGGTGGTGGTGATGGTACCTTTCACGGCTTCTCTTACAGAACTTCTCAGGTTTCCCTCCCAAAAAGCCGTGCCAAGCCTACCGCCCGCGCCCAGCCAAAAAACCCTCACGGCTGCCGGGTCTCTACCGCCCAAACCCCTGGGCGTGCCGCGCTGGGGATGCGATAGGGGTCTAAGGCGTGGATGTTGCGCCCCGTCGGCAGCACCGCCGCCCCGTCGCGGATCAGATCGCCGCCCGGCGCCGGGAGCACCTGCAAAGAGACACCGGGAGCACCCGCGGCGCCAGGCGGGGAGGGAGGGTGGACACCGACATGTGGCATCGGAGTTGGGGGGAGCCGATGGGAGGTGAAGAATTGGATCTTCTGCGTGTCAAGCATAACAGAGAAACGTGAAATTGAACAACGGATACCAGGATACAAGGCGTGTTTGATGCTTGTTTTGTCGTCTTCATTGGGAACGGGCTGAAGCCCCACTTCGAAGTGCTGAACAAAAACCAGGTCGGTGCACACAGGTCGGTCCCAAACAGCGTGTTTCCGTGTCGGCCCCGCCCGATCTACGCCTGCGCCTGATGGGCCGGAAAGCGCATGGCCCCGAAAACGACTCGAAAAAAAGGTAAAAATCCGAAGACTAAGAACGTCTGGGTCTTGGTCTTCACTCCACCTTGGATCCATGATTCTTTGGTCAGTCTTGGATGGAACTGCTTCTTAGTCATGGGGAGTCTTGGAACACCTCCTGGTGGTGCTGGTTACAAGACTTAGACACATCCTTTGTGCCAGCAGTGCTAAAGGAGAAGGTCTTCAGTCTCTGAGTGGATCACGGACACCGGAACCCCATCCAAGTTCGGCACCGATGGCAACTCCCGGTGCAAACGTGATGTTTGTGGAAATCTTCTGGGATAACAAACAATGACTGAGATGACTGAGTATGCTTCTGGAACTCTTCTGGAGTTGGTTTCGGTGCGTTCTTCAGCGTTCGTGAGTTCAACAGCCGCGCTGGTACTTTGGGTCTGCTGAGCGGGGCCAGGGAGATTCTGTGAATCAGGATACATTCTGAAACATGAAGACTAAACACAGAATCTCGCCCTCCTCATTGCACCCCTTCCCATGGCACCGAGCGAACTCGGGCGAGTTTGAACCCCGATCCACAGGTGAGATGACGGAGCCAGGATTCGACATGGACTGCAGTCACCCATGGACTAGACGAGACACTCCTTGACTCATCTTTTGAAGAACTCAGTCAAGCAGGGCAATATAATGCGATATGAGAACATCTGATCACCCTGAAACGAACAAGTCCTTTTGTTGCGCAACAAGTCCTCTGATCATCAAAACGACCATTGACCACCCCAAACGACCATCGTCCCAGCGGCATATTCGCCGTTCAGTGCTCGCAACATACCTGCAACAAGGCCATCCGGAACTTGAGATGGGCTCTGTCACATCGTGCCAAACACTTCATACCTAAAACAAGCACATTGAAACGGGTTGAACGGGTTATCTATCATGTATGTCTATCATACAGGTGTTTAAGTAATTCTAATTGAACGTATTTCGATGATGAATCTTAATCTCTATGACTCTAGGAAATTGACAAGGTATCTACATTCCCTTTTTGTGAACCACACAACCCCCCTAAACATGCGTATCCAATCCTTCATTACCGTCAAACACGAGACGCCCAGTCAACATGGGAGGTATCAAACGTTGTGGGTTTTTATCCTAGTTGCGATCCCCTTTCTTACTGCTTCTTGTTACTAGTAGTAACACCAGGAGCTACTAGTAGCTTCTTGCTCCTAGTATATAGCGATGCCCTTTGTTACTAGATGCTTCCACAAACGTCCAGATTTCGATGGGCATCAACTGACGGATGGCGCCACGACATCCAAGCGGAGCATCCGGCACATCACCGTTTCTGGGAAGCACCTTTTGGTCCTTAACGCTGTTTCAAACACCGGGGTTTAGCCCATGCGAAACCTGGTAACTGAAAATAAGACTATGGAACCAAATCCACTGCTGCACACCTCCTCCAACTACATTCTCCAAGCCTAGGAACTTGGTACCTACATTTAAAATAGTAGAAAAACACCACTAGGCAGCACTCAACCCCTCAAACCTATGCGTACGCACGTGTTTTCCAGTTCTTAGTCACATGGCACACTCCAAAAATGCATCAACACGGATCAACAAGGATCGAGATTCTTCTTTGCAGGAAAAACACGTTGGGCGGCGATCCTCAACACTCGGCCTGTCAAAAGTCACCCCCTTGCCCTGTTTCTTTGTGCAAACCCTCAGAGCATTATGTCTTACAACGCAACCTGGCTTCAACATGCTTCAACACCCACATCGACGCAATGAGCCACATCTGCCCCGACGATCGGGTGCTGGGCCAAGATCGCCTGAGATCTCTTCCACATTCCTCTCCAATAGGCTGACCGTCTCACGCGCTGCCCTCAACTGCTCCCGCAGCCTCAAAGCAACATATCTTTCGAAGACTGAAGACCTGATCGAAAACAACAAATTTGACAGATCTGTCTGATTTGTCTGTCCATTCCTAGTACCGCAACAACCATTATTGCCACCGATGTCTTATGTGGGACTTCAAGTGATACAACCAGATCAGATGAGCAATCGCAAGCAATGGAAAAGTCATCTCAAACCAGTCGAGTCCCAACGGTCCTCCCTAATTGCTCTTTACAAGAGCTACACGTCCTGAAATCATCATGTAGCTGTAAGTGGAATTCCCCAGCCTGTTTGGTACGAACGGAAGGACTTCATGGTCAATCCGAGTCTTTGGGGGAAACCTGTCCACGGCGGCCTGGGAGGTCTGTTGAGTTCTTCACAGTCTCAGGTTCTTCTCGTGAACTCGGACGAGTAGAAAGGCACTCCCTAAACCTACACGACACATATGATTGAACGCGGCGCATGTAACAGGAGTTAAGGGCAACTCATGCAATGTCCAAAAGGACGTGAAGGGGTTGATTACCAAATCAGTAGGGGTAAAAATTACTTGGCACCGGAACGAACCGGACAAAATAAGAACATGGAATGCTTAACAACATCAACCGATGCTTTCCCAGATTCGACATTGTTTCGAACATCACCACAAAACCTTGAGCCAGCGGAAGGTATGCAGGAGAGAGCAGATGTTGCCCCGGCCCAGGAGACTGAGGAAGGAGAGGCTGAGGAAGAAACCTACCTAGTCCCGGTGGGATATGGGTGTTTCTCATTTCAGAGGGGTCTCCTCCACAGGGCGCTGCCTGAGGTTTCTTCGAAGCCCTGGGGCCTCCCAATGATGCGCTAAAGTGTGGGAGCGAGTGGTCAGAAGGTAGGCTGGCATCGGCGCAGAGTCGCACACTGGACACGGGGAAAACACAATACATGTTTCCTATGTCCAGTTTGCAGTGCCGAGGTTATTGAACTCCAACTCGCACCCCCCAAAGACCCAACACTCCGCTTGGCCAATGGAAGAACACATCTGCCAGCCACAGTGCTCGCCGCTCTCCGAACCGCATTGCGCGAGGACCTCCGCGACACTGCGGCCACGGGCGAGGGCGTCCTGGGTGAGGAGGATGAGGCATGTGACACTGCAGGGGTTGTTGGCTTGAATTGGGAGAAACAAAGCCCCCAAATCAACAGGCAATGGATTTGGGACCCGGGATTGCTAATTGTTTGAGTTGAAGGATAATCCAGGATTTAAGAGGTTCGGTGGTCATCGTGACGAGTCATCGTGATTATGTGAGTGTTTGGTGACAGAGCGACAAGCTTGATGGTTTGTGGTGAAACAATTTCATGGTGTTTTCATGGTGGGTGTTCAGGGAGTAATAAGATGCAACAAGCATCATCTTTCTAGTGGAATGTGAAATGTGTGATTCATTTGGTGAAAACTCAACTCACTGTATAAACAAACCGACCACACATTGCTTGGTGTCATTGCATCAAGGGAGTCATCAAAAATGGATCTTGGAACTTGGAACATGCAACGCAGGCCTTTGTCTTTGATGGTGTGATCTTCTCATGTGGATGCAAGGCAAGTGGCCCAATGAACTGGGTCAGGGAGTGGTTTATACACATGATGATGATTTCTGATGATTTCTGCATCATCGGGCAGCTTCCTTGCTGCAATGTGTCGACACAAACAACCTTTGCTCCACCAAAGCCAAGCTTCGATGGCTGCCTCGGGCAGTGCCGACTCTTCGAAGCAACCCATCAAATAGCCTGCGAGCTGACAAAGGCACAGCTTTAGTCCTTTGAAGGGTGCAGAGGCGCCAGATTCACTCAAATGATCTCAAAATCATCCCGTGGGCCAGAACCCTTTAAAAAAACACAAGCGAGCTCGTTCTAGGTAATAATTTGGGTGTGTCTTGTCTGGCGTGCGTTCTACCCTTTGATGATTTTAGATTGGTCTGGTGGGACAGAGGGAGTTGTGCAAATATGGATGGAACAAACATCCAGCTCTTCACAGCACCTTATAGATTAAGGACATGCATCGAGGAACACACCCTTAGACAGCTCGAACCTGCCCAGCTGACTGAGCCAAAACCAGGTCGCTCCCCAAAGCCCCATCTCTGCAGGGTGTCAGGTGGGGTCTCGCTCCAGCAGGCCTCGAAGTTCCTCGGTGGTCGGGCTCTGACCCAAGGTATGCAGACCTTCCGAGAAGAGCGTGGCCTCCAATTCGGCCAAATAACTCCCTTGGCGCCCGGCTGCCCGACCGCTGGCGGCACTCGCACACTAGGGAAAAAAGAGGTGCCAGGCCAGAAAGACATGTTTGCTATAAGAGAAAACAAACTGAAGCCGAGGTTTAGAAGGCTGTTACAGGATTTAGCATGGACGAAACTAGTCACCTACTATTGTATATAGTTATAATTATAGTTAATTATAAGCCATAATGAATGATAAGATAAAGATCTTCAACCATTTACTTCGACGCGTCACCTCTTTCACCAAGTCGCGAAGTCGTCCGGCATAGTCCTCGAAGCCCTCCACCTCGAAGGCAGCCGCCCCGGCGGCGGCCGCCGCATCCACATCGTCGCCCGCGGCAGAGATAGCCTGGATCCAGCAAGGGGGGGAATCGTGCGGAGGAAGAGTCATGGATGATTTGTGGATGAGTGATGACAAAGTCAAGTGTCGAACAAAATATAACGAGTACCAATTCCATCCGATTCCTTTGGATAAATTTACTTGAAGGGTTTGATGCCTCTTTTGAACGGAACACTTGAAAGCTCCTCCGTCCCGTCGTGCCTGCTGAACGTCGCTGGGGAAGGGCAAATCCTTCTGAAGCCCCGCTGCCACCACGGCCTGCAGCGGATGCGTTCACCCCACGGATTGAGTTCGGGGTGTCTGGCAGCATGCGGCGGGCATTCTGACATGGCAAAGAACCTGGGGGTTCAACCTGGGGTCACCTTTGCTTCAGCTAAGGCCAGTGGATGCGGCATCCTGACATGAGCCAGATGTTGTAAGGCTTTTACAAATGCTCAGTGGGACCTTCAGTTGATCTGGGAAGGAGTCATGGCATGTCTCTGAATATCTGGTCCTTTCAGGTGCCAATCCACCAGCAAAGCTGCACTGAAGGGTGGGCTTCCCCAGCCAGGGCGCAGTTCAAGAGGTTAGCTCAGTCGATCTCCAAGTGGAACGTTATGTTCTGGACTAAGGAACAACAAATTATGGCACTCCTTCCGCATTCATCGCCTTACAATGGTTTTCTATGGTTTTCTGCCGTGGGCCGTGTGTTCTGAATCTTCCTGACTTTCTGATCTTTCTGCTCAGCTGTGTACGCCATCGGATGTTCACAGCGAAAGCTTCAACCCATTCCCATCGTCCTGAATCACTGCCGCTTCCAATGTCGGCTCCACAGGCTCGCCGTCGCCTGTCGCCGCTTCCGCCCCCCCTTCGTGTGCACCGCCAAGGTCCCCACGCTGGGGGCGTTCCAAAAAGGATTCGCAGTGCAGGTGGGCCGGTGTGTCCCTGTGCATCCATCTTCGTTCAGCGTCCTTGCTCCTAGTAGTAAGAATGCTCCTGGTAGTACGGCCAGGAGCCCCAGTAGCGTCCTTGCTCCTAGTAGCGATGCCAGGAGCCCCTAGTAGCTTCTTGTTACAAGTGTCCCTGAACATCGCTTCTTTCACTGGGCGCTTCAACGCCTGCCGCGGATGCCGCGGGTGCCGCTGCCGGCACGGCTGGCGCCGCTGCTCGGAGGCGTTGGCCCTGTGAGAGGGCGTGACGTGGGACGTGGTGGGAGGAGCTACTAGCTGCTAGTTGCGACTTGAAATATAAGTCTCCATGATAGAACCACGTGTTGTTGCAGAAATGGTGTGAAGTCGTGGTATGATCTATTGTGGCATGGCTGTTGTGTTCTGCACTTACTATAGCTCCGGATGATCGAAGTTCGAGTAAAAACACATGCTGAATTGTGCAACTTTTAGAAGTGTCCGCATCCACATGGATGGATGTGACCTCGCCCTCCACATTCTCCCGTCGCTCCAACAGCCTCAGCGGACGGGAGGCGACGTACGTTTTCGATCGGAGGCTCGAGTGGCCAAATCCAGTCCTACAGGGCTTTTATTGCCAGGACCAAATCGGAGATGTTCAACCTTTAGGGCCATTTATTGAACTTTAAGACCTAGGAAGGTGTTCTTTTGCTTAAACGGTTTGTTTTGGAGGAGAGGTGAAAGGTGAAGAGTATTGATCCTGCAGTATCACAACCAAAAACAGAAGGGGACGCCCTGGAAGCCTCAGTTCTTCTCCTACGTTTGAAAAAACTCACATGTTTCACTGCAAAACACGCACTCTCAACGTCCCACTCTCACAAAAAGAAACAAACAATTTCCACCTCTCTTCACCTGGAGCCTGAGGATCTCGCGCGCTTGCTGCGAACGGAGCTGAGGGCTGGGCTCGGACAGCAAACCCCTTACGCTTTGGAGCTCCTGGAGAGAGATGAGGGCACACGTAGAGCTCCTTGTCATGCCAAGGGTCCGGTCATACTGCCAAGTTGGGCATCTACGTGTCTGAAGTTTATTGAAAAACACATCAAGACTAAGTCGCCTGTAAGACACACACAAAACAACAAACAAAAACAAGTCCAGTCCACTACTCCACTCATGTAATAGTGAGGGGTTACAAGGGTCGCCTACTCCTTCTTGTGTTGGCCGCTCTTTTGAATTAAATCATTTCATCAGACTTCAAGGACACCCATTGGAGTTCAGTCAGGATCAGGTGGTCAAGGCTAGCCTTTGAAACAACTTGCAGAAGGTCTTCTCTGGAGAAGTAACGAACGCTGAACTTCACAAACGCTGAACGGCGTTTCCAGGTTGCCCCTCCCTCTAACCAGAATGATTCAGGTGTTTCTGTTTCGTGTTTCGGGAACCCTGGCGAAGCATGCTAATGCAAATCCTATATAGACCTAGCTGTGTTGCAAGACTCAGTCACTCCGACCTCGAAAAAAAGGGTGTGGGTGTTCTGACCTGCAAAAAGCTCGAAAAGAAAATTGCATATTTGTTTTTTGCAGATTTTGGGTTCGTCTTTGTTGTGGTAGTCCTTATTGAAGGAACACACCCCATCATCATCGTCTTTTGGGGGAGGCGCCATGGCTTGAATCACATTCCTTTTCTGGTGATGATCTGTAGAGACCTGGCCACTAAGAATCGTCATGTTCATTCTTACTGACCACGCAATGGGACTGACCTGTCCCCTCAACAACGCAGCCATGCTCCTACACCACCAGCACGAGACACAGCTGCCGTTGCGTCGTTTGGCGATGGATGCTGCGCCTTGTAGAGCCCCGCTCGGGCGTAGGGTGGAACGTTGTAGGAGACCAAGCAGCCATAGCCACGCCTCCAAACACAGCAGGACCAAGGTGATGTGTGGGCGATAGAAGAAACACGAACCCCAAAAAACACATGCCAAGGAACAAAACAACTTGGAGCACAGAGACCATAGATGGCCCCGGGTGACACAGGACAAATTTGTTTTTACAAACAGTAGGTCCCTTGATTTAAAATGAAAAGGCACTCAGTACCCTCTCAATCAATGCGTTGGTATTCCCAGCTGATCGTTGGATTGTGTTGGTCTTCTATTTTCTTCCCACCGAAACAGGGGAATACCCCTGTTTACGGAGGCCGTCAACCTTGCAAGGCAAGGCATGTCCTGGCCCTTAAAACACATTAAACTGGGAAAAGGAAAACCATTGGTCAAAAACAGTCCAAAAGGAAATTCATATGGCTGTGGGCTGTGGGTCAAAACCAGGATACCTTGGCAGACCTACTTGGGAGGTCGTTCGCTGCATGTTGGACTCACCAGGTTTTGACCATGGACAAATATGGAAACATGGTTTTGGTTCTTCCTTGTACAACACTGTCCACAGAACTGCCTCATCTTCAGGAATGGCCAGCCTTAAAACGTCTTCCGTCTTCCGTTTTCATGTCCTATATGGGCATTTCTGTTCCTCACCTGTCCTCAGGGTCGCCGGGGTCCAGCCTTTTGGCCAGGATCGACTCACTAGGATTGTTGGCCGCATAGAGGTACCTCACCAAACAGCGTCCTCCACCAAACATGGGGCCACAAACGATCTTGTCCACAAAGGAGGTCCAATGCCTATGATTCTTAAGGGACGTTTTATTAGACCCTATGGCTAACGGGCGGTTTATGGACGCCTTTGGGTGGTGAAAGGGTGAAGGTGTAAAACCTAATAGCAATGGCCTCCACCCAGCCTCCAACCTATTAGCGATGGCCTCTTGTTTGCTTTGTGTTCTGTGTTTTGCAAAAAATTCTCCACAGTTCTACTCTCTCGACCTCCCTGCCTGGGTGTCAGCGGACAATATTTCTGAACCGAGCTACACGTTGGGCAAGCCACCCAAAAGCTGATCTGGCCAACCTCGAAAAGTTCAAGATTGATGGACGTGACACAACAGAGCAAAACAACAACAACAACAACAACAACAACTACTACTACTACTACTACTACCGGTTTGTCGACCTGTGCATGGAACAGATGGTGCCCACATGTGCGGGAAAAAATGTGGTTTGCGAGATGGGTTTAGTGTGTTCAGAAGCTGCACATCATGAAAAACATTCTCCTAGTTTTTCCTGTTCTAGTTGGAAGGAACTCGTGCAGGCTGTACACACGCAGCCTGCAGTGTTCCCAAAGCATCGTGCCTTCCATAGATGCCACCACTGTGATTCAGGTTCGTTACCGAGACATATGTTTTAAAATAGAAACACATAAAATCACAATAATTCCAATATTTGGCTATGGGTCAAAGTTCGGCTATGGATCGTTCCGCGATGATCCGAACGTAATGGAACGAAGGGGTTACGTAAGAGCTCTTTTTCCGTACCTCTGCAGGAGCCACCGCAAATCACAATATGTTTGTACATGTATGATGAACACATACACTTAACAATGTTCCGCCTTGCCCCAAATGAGAAAAACGGAGTGGGGCCGCTACGTTAGCGTTGTTGTCAGCCGCAAATCACAACAAACCGTTCGGAGCTGTAACTAGCAGAGCTGGAAGGTTCCGAGTCCTTGATCTGCTGCTTATGAATCAGTGTAGGAGTTCAGGTGCGACATAAAGAACTACAGTACACATGCACATATTATATAGGTATGAACCGCCCTCAAACATTGACACATATCGTTTGTTAACGTGAACGTGTGTCAATTGTTGGTTGGGATCTTCGGCAAAGGGATCCTTGAGCGGGCGCTCAATGTCTCTTTTGAACACCCTCTCAAGGCATCGAGTGACCCGGCCATGCACAGAGATGAGAGGCCTCGTTGCCTGCGCATGGGCCACGTGGCAACCATGCGCTGTTCGCACGGGTTTGGCGTTTTGCCTTTCCTGTTTGTTCTTTTTGAAAGCATTCGTCGACTCGAGACTCCCGTGGATGCGCCGCGCCTCCGTCTGTCGTGCAGTGCGCCCTTAACGCTCCTCACAGTAGTGGTTCACGTATAATACGAATGAGTCAAAGGAGCCTTCCGCAGGTCACACATACGGAAACCTTGTTACGATTTTTCCTCCCTCTAAGTGATAAGGTTCATCATGAAACTTTCCAATGCAACGAGTTTGGCAGCTTGTCCAGCCTTTATGGTTTTGATCTACTTCTGCCAATTTCTTGCCCAGGGCTTTGGTCCACGGTTCCTTCCTCCCACTTAGGATTGCCGATTTGCCGCGTCCCACCGGGCGATGGCCGCCGTTTCGGCTTTGCTGCGCTCGTGGGGCATGCTGTTCCTGTTGCTGCCATGCCGGGTAGCGTGCACACGGTATAGGCTGCTCCGCTTCGGCGGCGACCCGCAGATCTTTAGGAAAGGAGGCTTGAAAGAGGGCAATGTTTTGTTCTCCGTTTGAAGTTTGCTCTTAGAAGCGGGCATTGCCTGACTCCTGGTCAGTCGGGTTCTGGAACCCATCGAAGTGGTGAGGGCTTCGGGTGGAAGATGTTTGCTGATCGCCTTAATCTAAAGTTCAAAACTGAAAACGCCTGCCACCTGTCGAGGGCATCGATCACGCAAGTATATGGACGTAGTCTTCCTGTCTGCCTTCAGCCCAAGCCCCTGATCCCAATAGCCCCCCATCATCTGAAGTCCACCCTGAAGCCCCCTTTCGCCGCAGGTCTCGGGACTAAAAAAAGAAGTATATTTGCGAACCTTTCCTGAATCCAAAAGGGCTGCGCAGTGGTCATCAATACAAGCTGTGCTATACACACCGGGTATGGTCTGCATTGCGACTTGTTCACACTCCTTCTTGGTCGTGTGAGCGCTCGAATTGCTATTTTAGTTAGCTCACTCTGCCACCATAAACGTCTCTACCCAAATGTAATCTGTTGGTCTTTGCATCCTCTCAAGAACGGGGTTTCTAGAGGTGTTTGGTGGTATCCTTTCTGGATTGTCTCTCCTCATCACTGCGCATTCTAGCAATCTTTGATACCCGTCTTTCGCGTAGGCAATTGTATCTGCTCTATTCTCTTCTCCTCTTCCTAGATGCTCATATTGCCTTTCTCTTAACTGTTCAATCTTCTCCTCAAGTCGACCACACATCTGGATTGCCTGTCCTTTTTCATATTCTGCTCTGTTTTCCTGTCCCCTATTTCCTGGTATGAATCTTCTGGTCAATGGTCAACTGCTCCCTCTAAAGCTGCTTTCAACATCACTTTTTGACCACGATATCGTCCTTCCATCGTTCCAACGTCTTCCAAGCTCCTTCTGGCTAAGTTTGCTGCGTTGATCTTTCCAATCATGTCATAACTGAATATCTCAAGAGTGCCTGGTACTTCTTCTTCTACAAAGCCTCCATTGAGAATCAACCCACTATGAATTTTCCTGGTGTAGTCACGCAGCTCGTCTATCCTTACATTATCAACCGCTGCCTGGTCAAACATCCATTCAACCTCCACTATTCTGAGCTCTGCTCCATCCACTCTGTCACCAAGAGTGTTCATCAAACGCATACAGCGGTCTTCAAAACATTGCAAAGGTCATTGCTGCAAAACCAATGATATTGATCACAACAATCACAATGATCATAACTTTCCAGTTTCCATTGGGTTCTACTTCTTCCAATCCACACTGGTTGTTTTCCTTCTCTTTCATGAGTGTTTCTGTAACTACGCCCATTGGGCTCAGTTTTAGTTCACATTTAAGGTCTTCATCTGTGTTTCTTCTTTCTTGTCTTCTACCTCCTTCTCCGGTGGAGTAGGGGTAATCTCTTCCATTCCCTGCTCCACTTCTTTCTCTCTTCTCTGTTCTCAAGCTTCTTGCATCCTGGCGCAAAAAAGATCCATATCTTCTGGTGGTGCCGGCTCATATAAAGATTGTGATCTTTTCATCTTGCTCTCACAATATTCAGGCATCAGCCATCGACCTCCTCTTTTCACCAAAGTGGTTCTCATCAACTCTGGTGATCCTTCCACTTCTGGAATGACTGCGGGATCAACAAATCTTGAAGTCAAATAAGCTTCCAGCTAGCAGTCCATGCTCATTGAATCTGAAACCTGCTGCCTTCTCCAAAGCTTGCCTTGATCTGTCAAACAGCCATGGGCCATTTTGCAAGTTGAATGGTACTTTCATGTCACCATTCTCCAATGTTTGCTCTCGACCATTGATCCCCGAACTGATCAAGGTCACGCAAGGAAATCTCAACACTTTTTGCACCCGGTGGGGATACGGTTCCCCTGCGCATTTGTAGCTTGGTCTTTGCGCTGAACTCCAATTCTCCTTCCCCATGATTTGCCATGCACAAAGGGAATAACGCTACATGGGTTCATCATCTGAGATGTCGATCGCCCTGCAATCTTCCATCTTTTGGTTCATCATCATCTGCAATGTAGAAGTGAACCACTCGAATTCCATGATCTTCCACCTCATCATCCCTTTCTCGCAAGTCAAAGATGATTGGCTCACTGTTCTCAGTTCTTCTGACCGCTAGTTTGGTCTTTGCTGAGCTACTCTGCTGGCAAACAATGGCTAGTTGTTGACCAACTGTATGAGTAGTCACTGACGCTCCTCTGAAGATGAATGGGCTGGATCACTTGCAATCTGTCGAATATTGTTCCTCCAACAGTCTCGGAGCAAGATGTCCTGGTTTCCCACAAGTGTCTTTGCCTAGTCTGGTCTTTTCCTTTACCTTTGCCCTTCTGATCACCTTTTCCTTTCTTTCCTTTGCTCTTTGCATCTTTACCTTTGCCTTTCTGATGGTCATTCTTGCCCTTCTTGCCTTTTCCTTTGGCATTTTGGGCTCGGTCAATGTCCATTGGCATGGGTCCTTGATAGTCTGTACTGCTACTTGCCACCATTAAAGTAGCCTCCTCCGTTGAGAACGATCCCATTGCAACACTTGTTCCCTCAAAGTTGAGTATTGAACATTG